CGGCAACGAACGCCACCTTTTCTCCAGAAATTATTAATGACTTTTTAAGGCAGAGCGTCTTTTTCTCTTTAATTCCCTCATCTCCCAGTCATTGACTCGATTTGAGTGGGCTGCACAATGATTTCATCGCCACTCAACAATCCTCGTCGCCTGTCTCTGCTGGTAGCCAACGGGAACAATGCCTAACGCCTAGAGTGCAGAGTTTTCTTCCCATCCATCCATCACACGGGAGACCAGGGTCTCAGATCCCCGGTGGAAACCCTCTTTGAGTCTCCAGAGTATCAAATTCTGCCGCACAAAGTGTTAGAGAGCCGAGAGCCTGGATGAAATGGATGTCATGGCCATGGCCCATGGCAGGGGATTCGAATAAAGGGTCTAATAAGTAGACATGGCCTAGGCCCAAGTTTCATGACAGGCCTGCTCGGTCAGACTACCTGAAGCTGTCAAGCAAAATGCGCTGTAATTTCCCTCGAGGAGCATGACAAGCCTGGTCAGGTCACAAGTACTTGAGACATGACCGCCGAATAGGGGTCTGTTCGTGTCACCTGTACCAGTTTAATGGGTCCATCCCACCATCACCAAACGTCGCCTGCGCTCTGGCTCTGCCATTGCAAGGCCTTGGTCTTGGCCTAGAGTCAGGGTGCGTGCTAGTGCGTGCTGCAGAAGCTGAGAGTTGCTGTTTCTCTGTGTTGTTTGCTTCTGCTCTCAGGTTCCTCGTAGTATATTAAATTTGACCCCCCCCAGGCTTTTGAACAGGCCACCCTTCTACGCTTCGAAACAAACTTGTTCTCGGTCCACAGACTTCGTTGGCAGAGTCTATCTCGCTCGTACATTTCTTCGTTGAATACATACATAAGTTACTTTACTTATTAGCTTGTGCTTCTCGCTGTCTGGATACAGAGCATCGATCTGTTGTCGCTTCCAACTCACCCTCTCACTTACACCAATCGCAAACGCTTTGAAAGCACTCACCTATACAACGAACACCAACACAATGCATTTCTCCAAGCTTATCCTGGCTGTTCTGCCTGCCTTCGCTCTCGCTAACGAGGGTACCACCACTCACACGTCCACCGCCGTCGTTACCAAGACCTACTATCTATCTCAGGTTCACACCATCACCGCCACTGGTGTGAGCACAACTGCTGTTGAGACTTCCGTCGAGGTTACGTCCACAGCTCTCGTTGAGGAGACCACCACCTTCTGGCCTGTTTCTCAAAACAACACCACGCCTGTCTCTACCCCCAAGGCCTCTAACACGGCTGGTACCACTGGTGGCTCGTCCGAGCCCTCGGAGGTTCCTGGCAACGCTGGATCTGCTGTCGCCGTCGGCAAGTTCGCTGTGGTCGGAGTTGCTGGTATGGTTGCCGCTGCTCTTCTGTAAGCGCGTTCTGCGTGGAATGAGATTCCTTGAGCATCTCACGACTGTCGTCTTGCACTAAAGCCGACAACAACCACCGTCTTCCATTTCTTGTCCATTCACCTTTTATACCCTGGCCACCAGCGCGGCCTATTCTTTATGATGAAACGCCACGATACCAACAGCAGGTCGACACTTGTCGCCTGCTTCACACTTGATGAGTTCTGAGACTCTGCCTCCTGGATAGCTTGACTGCTTCCTTACGCTTCATCACGCCCGCTCCACTGACAAAACATGCGGGCTTTCAACTCTTGCTGTTTCTTTCTTCCCTGGCAGCATGCACCCAGCGCGTTGACTGCGCTGCGTATAGTTCAAACCTTCGAGTTGTCGCTTGTGTTGAAGGGTAGCCGTTGATGTTCCCAAGCCTGTTCACCTTGACCAAATATATCGCAGTTCCAAATTTCCTCAGTTGAGGATATCACTCCAAGGCTTGGTAACCTCTCAATGGCTTTGAGATCATATCCCCTTCCTACCACGACAGCTGGTACATGCTCCTGGCTGGAAACCCTTTTTACCCCATTTATTCACTCAACATCTCTTCACTCGACTCTGCTGCCCTGTAGAGAGTCGTTTCCAAAGAGACGGGGACGACGTCGGCGACGTGGAAAATAATTCATATTCACTTCGGTAACTCTGCTTCTCGGATGAACTGGTTTTACTATACTTCTCTTTTGGCGATACCCCCTTTTTACGACGGCGCAGGTGATCCAGGATCTAGCTCTGCTTGATCCTTGGAGGACGGTTTGCAGCTTGGAGTATGGCTTTGATTTGATTCGGAAGGGGTGGGATACGATTTACATGAATAAGGAGGATTGGTGAATTTTTGAGTGTCCGACAATGGGCCAACGATGATGAGCCATGATAGATGGCTAGTAGATAGTATGAGAGCAATAGACTTTGTCACGCTCAACGATGGTTGGATCTTGCTTGAAAGTGAAGACTAGAGACCAGGTGTTGCCAATTCGAAATGGCGTGGAAACCAACGTCCGGTGACTAATCTGAACAGACCCTTGCTGTAGAATTACAATTTTACCCAGGGTTCTCAGTCTATCCGTCAAGCATCACTCTATAAGCTGGTTCAAATGTATACAAATGAGACTCGATACGAGAATCTGGTCTTTGACCATAGATAAGTCAATGAATAAATCTGCAGGCTTCAAAGCTCCTAACCGATGATTTCACCTTCGCGGTAACTATGGCGGTATTCGTGACGGGATTTAGAAAATGGGCTGAATAATGATAATGCGATGTTCTTTTATTGGTTCATCAATCGGATGCGGCCCGGGGTGTGCGGGTCTCATCGGCCTTTGCCCCCGAGTCTAGGAATTTGAGTTCTTTGAAGCAGCCGCTATTTTCGAAGCCTGCTTCCACATATCTCCACGAACGCCCAACGGCTTTCTTATTTTTCATTGTATCGTCCTTTCGGAGAGGTAGAAGTCGTTGTTTCTCTGTATTATAATGGCTTCTCTTGCTCCATCCCTCAAGCGGGCACATGCGCCTCTTCGCAAGGCGCTGAGCGCTACGCCCACACTTAGAACTTTCGCCACTGTACCTCCGAGTGGCAGCGAGCCCGGCAAACCTCGACGAAAGAGTTATTTCAAGGACACAGCAGTCTCAGACTTCTCCGATTTCCTTGCGACGTCGTCTCCAGCCCAGCCACTGTCTCCAGCAGAGGCTTACTCTTTGAAGACCGCCGAAGTCGGCCCTGAGGGCAAGAAACGAACCATCACACGACTGCCAGAATGGCTAAAGACACCGATCCCCGCCGGTAACGACAACTTCAAGAGCATCAAGAAGGATTTACGAGGATTGGGACTACACACCGTCTGCGAGGAGGCTCGATGTCCCAACATTTCAGAATGTTGGGGTGGTTCAGATAAGAATGCTGCGACTGCTACTATTATGCTCATGGGCGACACATGCACCAGAGGATGCCGTTTCTGCAGCGTAAAGACAAATCGCAACCCTGCTGCGTTGGATCCTCACGAGCCCGAGAACACCGCAGAGGCCCTGGCCAGGTGGGGTCTTGGCTATGTCGTGCTGACCAGCGTGGACCGTGACGATCTGGCAGACGGTGGTGCGAAACATTTTGCTGAGACAATCCGAAGAATTAAGCAGAAGAAGCCTTCATTGCTTGTTGAAGCTTTGACTGGCGATTTCCGAGGAGACTTGGATATGGTCAAGGTTGTGGCTGAGAGTGGACTCGACGTTTATGCGCATAATGTTGAGACCGTCGAGGACCTCACTCCCTATGTGCGAGACCGCAGAGCTACTTTCAGACAGAGCTTGTCTGTGTTGAAGCATGTCAAGGACATTATGGGCAAGGACGGTCCTATTACTAAGACCAGTCTGATGCTTGGTCTCGGCGAGCAGGAGCATGAGATCATGGCTGCGCTGGAGGGTAAGACAACCCTTTGAATAATGCTTTGTGAATCAGCTAACAGCGCTTAGAACTTCGAAAGGCTGACGTTGATGTCGTCACATTCGGTCAGTACATGCGACCTACCAAGCGTCATCTGAAGGTCGAGAAGTACGTGACCCCTGATGAGTTTGAGATGTGGCGCAAGCGAGCTCTGGACATGGGTTTCCTGTACTGTGCCAGTGGGCCTCTCGTGCGTTCTTCATACAAGGCTGGTGAAGCCTTCATCGAGAACGTATTGCGCAAGCGCTCCGGCGAGAAGGCTATGGCCAGTGGAAACCTTGGCCAAGCCGTTGCTCTCGACTCAACACAGTCGACGATCTAAACAGATCACTATACTCCTCCTTTCCACATCAACCACACCTCACTACACTAAATAATCATGGGCTATGACCGTATCGGAAGGCGTTTTGGGTAGGGTCAGATATTCAACTAGAAAAGCATGGTCTTCAACAAGGCTGCTGCGACCTTGTCGCACACTCACATACAATACAATCACTCACCCCTAGCGGGTTGTACATCAAATATCTGCATGTAAACGTGGTGGTTGTTCTGATATTGTCCTTGCTGTGTAACTGAACTCCTCTGGATAGGTTCGTTCACTACAGGAACGACGTCACTCACACTATGATCAACCCATCTCAGTGCCTGTCCCATATGTTTTCGTAGTGAAACTCAAGCATGCCTCGTAGCGACTTGATTATCTTACCGGATAGACTTGTCGTGGGTGATAATGGCAGCAGTTGCTCTTGTCATGAGCTGACACTGCCTGGAGGGGTTCTCATCTCTTGTGTAGGTAAAGTTGGAGTTGATGAATCACTGCCCTACATTAGACTTGTTCCACTACAGACGATCATATCTTGTGATCACATCACCCTTTCCATTACATTCTTGGGATGATTGATCTGGTTGCCACGGGGAAGGCACAATCGTAATCTTGATTACATGCAAGGGAAGAGCAGAGCGACAGTCAACAAGCTCTTTCCTATTTCTTGAACAAAGAGTTGCTCGGCCGTAACTTCTTATCGACGAAATATCTAAGGTACCTTCAACTTCTTGGACCTTTTCTTTCGACTCTGGTTTTCTTGATCAATTCACACGATTTCGACTTGGGCTACCTATAGGTATATTCACCTTCACTCTCTTGTCAGGTTCTTCATTATGAAGTTCCTCCTCCTTTTCCTATTCACCCTTTTGGGAAGTGCCGAAGCGAGGTACTGGCTGGAGGACATTGAGCACCGTGGGAGTGCTCCCTATTATCCTGACAAGCTTTACCCTGTGTTCCGTAACGTGAAAGACTTTGGCGCTGTTGGCGATGGAGGTTAGTACTTCACTCGGATTCAGCTTCATAGCTAACAAAACAGTTGCGGACGACACGGCCGCTATAAATGCAGCAATCAGTGAAGGTGTTCGATGTATTCCTGGTGTGTGCAAAGGAAGCACTATTTCACCCGCGACTGTCTATATCCCAGCCGGGTGAGTGCCCAGAATAACATCGCGAGTTTAGTATTGCTAACAGAGAAAGAACATATCTCATCAGCAACTCCCTCATTGATTTGTACTATACGCAAATCATTGGTGACCCCACAAACCGACCTGTCATCAAAGCATCCGCCTCCTTTTCTAAGCAAAGCTTCGGATTAATCGATGGAAACCCCTATCTGTCTACTGGTTCCCTCGCATGGAACTCAACAAACGTCTTTTTTCGCCAAATTCGTAATCTGGTTTTGGATACAACTGCCCTTCCCCCAGACTTTCCTGCTGTGGGTATACACTGGCCGTCATCTCAGGCAACAGCCATCACCAACTGTGTGTTCCAACTGTCGACCGTTCCTGGAAATCAACACACAGGTCTCCTCATTGAAGAAGGATCAGGGGGGCTTCTCAATGATCTTTATTTCTTTGGTGGGGGAAATGCCACAGTTTTGGGTAATCAGCAATTTACAGCACGCAACCTCTGGTTCTCCAATGCCGATGTCGCGATATGGATGACCTGGGACTGGGGGTGGACTTTCAAGAGTACAGTGTTTAAGAACTGTCGAGTGGGCATCAAGATGGACGATTCATCGTTCGGTGTTGGCTCTATCACGATTCTTGACAGTTGGTTTGAGAATGTTGATGTGGCTATCGCTACAACACGCAACAGCTCACAGAGTATCAGCAGCGCAGCTTCTTTGGCGATGGAAAACGTCAAATTTCAGAATGTGAACAGCGTTCTCATGGGCCCCGAAGGTACTGATCTGGCACGCTCTGCTATAGCACCAGTAGACAGCGCTGTTTTCCTGATGGTAGGCCGACTCGCGGAACTGTGAACATTGCTAACAGAATCAGGGGCACTACGCGAACATGGAGGGCACATTCGATGCGATGGCCCTTTATCCGCTTCCTTTCACTCGGAGTCAAAATCTCCTTGATCGCAATATCTACTACGAGCGATCAAAGCCTCAGTACGAGCAAGTTCCAGGCAGTTACTTCATCTCAGCAAAAGCAAATGGTGCATACGGTGATGCATCGCATGATGATACTCAGGCACTTAATGCCTTATTCCAGTACACGGCGGCAAAAGGGCTCATCGCATATCTTGACGCAGGATACTATATGGTTTCAGACACTGTACACATCCCACCGAATGCCAGAATTGTGGGTGAAGCCTTGGCATCAATCATCATGGGGACAGGGCCCAACTTTGGGGACTTGAGCAAACCTCGACCTGTCGTCCAAGTCGGTCGCCCTGGTGATGTTGGCCAGATAGAGTGGTCAGATACAATTGTATCAACCCGTGGGCCAACAGCAGGTGCCATCCTAATTCAGTATAATTTGTTTGCTCCTGGAGCCCCCTCAGGCATGTGGGATGTACACACTCGAATTGGAGGTTTTGCTGGGACCTATCTTCAAGTTCCAGACTGCCCTGCGATCAAAGGGACAAACGCGGTCAACCCGAGATGTCTGGCAGCTTACATGAGCTTCCACGTAACGGCTTTCGCTGGGGGTCTATTCACAGAAAATTGCTGGTTTTGGGTCGCAGACCACGATCTTGAGGATCAAAAATACCAACGTGTTTCTATCTTTGCAGGAAGAGGAGTTCTTGTGGAGGCACAGAGAGGCCGCATCTGGCTCAGTGCGTCTGGTTCAGAACACCATGTTCTGTATCAATATCAGCTCGCCAACACCAGAGACGTTTACATTGGCCACGCACAGACAGAGCAGGCTTACTTTCAACCCATACCCGTGGCTCAATACCCATTCCCTCTTGTGCCAGCACTGAACGATCCAAACTTTCAGCAAGACTGCCAGAACGACCCTGATCCAGGATGTAATATGGGATGGGGCATGAGGATTCTCAACTCCAGCAATGTTGCCGTATATGGGGCAGGGTTGTATTCATTTTTCACGAACTATAACGATACCTGTGCTAGCAACAAATCTCCAGGATTCTGCCAAGCAAGAACTTTGAGCATTCAAGGCTTGAGCCCTGGAACGAGGTTTCTAGGATTGACTACAGTGGGCACTAGGATCATGGTGCATCGAGATGGGATGGATTTGGCTCCGGCTAGTGACAACAACAGCACATTTGCAGACACTTTGGCTTTGTATGTATCATGAGCATTTGACATACTTTTTTGATGTCAGATAATGAAGGGGGAAGCTTAATAAGGGTATCGTTCGCTATACCAGTAAACTAACTAGAATTCCAAATACCTCTCAATGTTGCCAATGCAATAAACACAGCTTCATCTGTCCTAATATTCCGGCATCCTTGACCAGGCAACACATTAACCCAGTGGTCGAACAACTCCTTCGTCCTGGGACCCTGGATGCCCATACTGCTGAGTTCTTGATCGTTCATTGCTGCAAACTCCAGACCTCGCGGGCCACCAAAGACAATGATAAGATGGTTGAAGTTGACTCTCTTAGACGGCGGGAAAACCCTAGAGGCCGGAACGCCACGTTCGGAGGTGCCAATACTGACATCGTAACCGTTCTCGTAGGGACTCTCAGTGAAAACATTGGAGAGGGAACTGGCCCTTCTTACATTGTATCCCCAGTAGTAACCGCCCTCAGTTCTTGGTGCAGCAGGATGCACAGGTTCAGGGTATTGGGTCTCATCCTCGGAAAACTTGAGTGTTATCCGTGTCTTTGCTGGGATCTTGGCCTCAACCTCGACAGGCTCCCCCAGACCAACTTCAACGAGCGAACCGGAACCTGTGCTTGTTTCACCAGGAATAACTATTCCTTCCCGATAAGAGATCCATTCCTTAGGATTTGGATGATGCGGCATTTCGAGAGTGGGCAACATGGCAGTAAGTCGCAAGTTGGGGTGCAGGCCGAAAATTTGTTTGCGCATAAATGGTGGTGCCTCCAGGTAGGTTAGAATGTGCGTGAGAAAATGGCACGGGTCGGTGTCGCCTGTGTAACTGTTGGTATCTGTTTGGCGAGGGCGGGTCGCGAGAGGAGAATCGTCAAAAACAACCACTTCGTCGACAGAGAAAGCAGCGAGGGCACGAGCAATGCGAGCGGGTTGGTTCATTCGCTGGTCAGCAGAAGCGAGGCTGTGATTGTTCGTTAGTAGAGATAGACACTATAATAAAGATACATACTCTGAGAGGATACTGCTGGGAATGGCAACGGAGATGGTCCATGATCGACCACCTTCAATTGGGTCAAATATCGTGGAAGGTCTGGCGGAACCTCCCTCTCGACCATTATGTTCGGTTTTGCGTTTCTGTTAAGAGTTAGTGAACTGGAGTGAATTGAGTGTTAACTGATTACTGACCTTAGAGTTGCGCTCTGAGTAAGACATCTTGTTGTTAATTACAAGGACTGATAAGATCTGAAATGTGTAGATCACTCGAGGTAAAGTTGCGACAACCTAACTCTAGCAAAAAGTTGTGATAGTGGGGTCAAATGTCCGGCAGAATATCGCCGCCTTGGTCACCGCCTGCCCAACACAGAGCTTTCGAGGTTCGCCCGCGCTTCGTCAGCATCATGGTGAACAGGATGCGACAAATGTGGCCTTTCATGACAAACACAAGGACTGAACATTAACGGAATCGCGACCATGAGTGGCCCCATCAACATTGCTTCTGAGTCCGAATGGAGTAGTCTCCTCTCGGGTACAAATGTGGTCATCGCAGATTGTACGTTCGAACAGTCCGTGAATATCCATGTCATAACTAACACGACTTCTACTTAGTTTACGCCGACTGGTGTGGTCCCTGCAAGATGATTGCGCCTACATTCGAAGCTCTCGCCAAAGAACACTCACGCCCGAAGAAGGTTGCCTTCGCAAAGGTCAACGTCGATAACCAGTCCGGCATCGCCCGAGCCCAAGGTGTTTCCGCCATGCCGACCTTCAAGATCTTCCACAACGGCACCTGCATCGAGACCATCAAGGGTGCCAACCCCCCCGCTCTCACAGCGGCTATCAATAATGCGGTGAAGCTTGGCGGACCAGCTACTGGTAACGTTTTTAAGACTCCCGGGCGAACGCTCGGTGGCGAGTCACGATCTGCCTCGCTGTCCAAGCAGTGGAATTTGAAAGCCGTCTTCGATGCTCTGATAGCGTTCTTTGGACTATACTTTGTTTCTCTGTTCACTGTAAGTGACCGACTGGCGGTCTTTCAGTGTGAAATACTGCGGTTGCTAATTAGATGGTAGTTTGACCCGTATAAGTCAGCGGAAGACAGCCCCTTCAACCTTCATCGTAAACCAGCACCAAGAAACACCGGTGGATCGCAGACCGCTGGTGGTGCCAGAGCTCCCCCACGTTCGTCCTTCAAGACATTGGCAGATCTTGGTGGTGATTAAGGAACTTTGGGTATGGCGTTCATCGGTAAAGGGCTCTACTTGGGCATGTATATTCAATCTTTTCAGGCGAACTTACTATACAGTTCTAGAATCATTCGACTCGTTTATATGATGTTGAATCTCCATTTTTGATTCATGGTGACCAGTTAGCTTGTAGCGACCTAAAGATAATTGCCACATATATCAATCAGCACGTGACCACGCGTATACACGAAAAGACGAAGCTCTTATAGTAAAACTTCGACTCCATTGCCCCAAATCTGTATAGTACAGAAAATGTTGTCGGCCAGAAGAATACGAAATGCTTGCCCGAGGTGTAATGCTTCCTATTTAACGGTATCGTCAGGATTTTATTCTTCCAGTGCTTTACTTCGCTCGCAACGTATTTCTTCATTCCGTTCCTTGCAGCCCAATAGGAAGGCTGCAATTTCACAAGCATTTTCGACGTCAAGATGTTTGCGACAAGACACACAAACAACGGGACAGGCGTCGCCGGAGGAAATTGAGCAAATTGTTCGAGACGCTAAGCAGAGATTTCGAGATACTTTACCAAAGGGATATCTTAACGACGAAGAATATGCGGTGTACGAACGGTTGTACGGTGCGCCGCTGCGTGAGACGAGACCTGAAGATGTAGGTATTCCAGAACATGCAGACATGGGACCACAGCCCCCGCGGCCAGATAATGAAGGCATTGTATTGAGAGAGCTGGAAGGTGGCGAATTTGAGGAGGTCGCTTACGAAATTCCTTTCAACGAGGGTGTCGAGGACATCAACGAACCAACTCCGGAACCCGACTTGGAGGACCGTGCAATCGACCAAATCGTGCCAGGCTACGTGGATTTAGTTGCCAGAAGCCAACGGGAATACGATGCACTACAGAAACTTTCGGAAGACTTCAAGGTCGCACAGCAGAAGCAACAAGAGGCGGAAAATGAAGCAGCGGCCCAGGAAGAGCTGGAAATGGAACAGCTGGAGGAAGATACGAAAGCGACCTGGCCTGAGGAGTATGAGCATAGTGAGCGACCCACTGGCGAGGAGGCACGATTTCACCCCCTGACTCTGGAGGGTCGTTTCTGGGGAAGTCCTATTGAAATTCTCTTGCCACAAGACGAAATGATCATGCCGATTCGTGATCTTCTACAGCGAACTCACATCGATCACGTCAAGAGTGCTGCTGAAACAGCCTTTGGCGGTCCAGGTCTTCCACTGTCTCCTGCGACACCTGAGGCTAAGAGGAATGGAAACATGTTTGGCGTTGGCCTTCCAGCAGACCAGCGACATATGACTGAGATTGAAGGAGATGCTTTCCTTGCAGGCTTCATGCCGCCAGCCTATGCCTCAGTAATGGCTACCCTCAAAGAAGTTCGCAAGCGAGTCGGAAGTGAGTGGCTTCAGTCTAAGCTTAAAGATGGCAGTGGCATGAGCGTTCTTGATGCAGGATCTGGTGGCGCAGGCTTGATTGCCTGGGACGAGATCGTGCGAGCAGAATGGGATCTACTGCAAGAAAAGGGTGAAGTCAAGGGTGATAACCCCCCAGGCAAGCGCACAGTCATTATTGGCTCTGATCGTTTACGACACCGTACCAAGACTTTCCTGGAAAACACCACTTTCCTCCCTCGACTTCCCGACTATGAGCACTCAGGAGAGATGAAGGGTGAGCATCTAGATGCGGGTAGCAAGCCTCAGCCTCGCAAGAGTTATGATGTCATTATCGCCTCTCATCTGTTTCTTAAGGAAGAGCAAGACCACTACCGACAAGCAGTCCTTAACAAACTCTGGTCCTTGTTAAACAAAGATGGAGGTGTTCTGATTGTCCTAGAAAAGGCTCACCCTCGAGGATTTGAGGCTGTCGCTCATGTTCGAGACACCGTTCTTCGGCAGTTCCTTTTGCCCCAATCTGGAGAGCCAGAGCTTGATAGTGAAGCCTTTAACCCTGCTTATGAACGGGAAAAGGAGCTTGGATATGTTGTTGCCCCCTGTACTAACCAGGGACTGTGCCCGATGTATCAGACACCTGGTAAGAGCAAAGGCCGCAAGGATTACTGCCATTTCAGTCAGAGATTTGTCCGTCCTGCGTTCTATTCTCGAATGCTTGGAAACAGCGCGAGGAATCAGGGCGAAGTCGAGTTCAGCTATGTTGCCTTCAGACGTGGTGTCGCTAAGGAGCGGTCTATAAGTGGCAAAGAAGCTGCAAACCGAGCCTTTGAAGGATACGAAGACTCAGACGAAAGGCCCGATATGCAGAGCCTGCCGCGATCTATTATGCCCCCATTGAAGAAGAAGGGACATGTCACCCTTGACTTCTGCACACCGGAAGGCAAGCTTGAGAGATGGACCGTTACCAAGAGCCAGAGCAAACTCGCATACCACGATGCTCGCAAGTCACGATGGGGCGATCTTTGGGCGCTCGGAGCCAAGACGCGAGTTCCACGCAACGCTAGTGTTGGCAAGGGACCTGACGACGGTGGTAAACGAGCCGGACAAGGCAAGAAGCCTAGAAAGGTCGAGATTGTCATGGGCCCTGGCGGAATCAGTGCCAACGAGAAGAACGCCCCTCGTGAGCGTCGTGGAAAGAACAAGATGGACAAGAAGAGCCGCCTTATCAAGGAGATTCTCGAGGCTGAGGAAGAGGAAGAGAGAATAATTGCCAAGCAAATGGATGAAGAAGTAGAGGCTGAACTGCGAGACGACTCTGACAGAAGAGGTCGATCATAGGTGGATGTATTATATGTAAAATAGACGTACCAACACACTGGTTCGAGGCCAGGAGGTCATGATGAGGGTATGGAGCA